GTTTAAATAGAGTTTAAAATTAGGTTTCAAAGCCTTTCTATTTTCGTATATATTGGTCATTGTAGATTTATGCGTGTCCTTCACAACCCAAAGTTCAACTCAAAGCTATTGCTATTGTTGTACGAGCTGAGCGAACTCTGTGCTTCTACTTTGAACTAACAAAGTTTTTAGCAACTTTTCAGCAACTATGTACTCCCATTACACTCAAAACAAGAGAGAGTAGGAAGGAGTGTAAAAAACAATATTTATAGCTCTAATTACAAAAACAGAGCATCGTTCGCGCTGTCAACGCAACGCTGTCGCTCTGGGAATATTCCACCAAAAGGCGACCATAAGCCGCAATTTTCAGTGCTCGGCTAACGCAAAGTCAAGCCAAACAGTTTAACTGTCAAAAATGACAAATAGTACGCTAAGGATTTAATTTTAAATGCAATGCTTCACTTTCATTGCAGCAAAATTAACTACTAAATGGGCAAGAACTTGCCGCACTGACATTGCTGGCGATGGAAAAGCCGAGAGGGAGAGTACAGAAGGGCGAAAATCCGAGCAATAGGCAGTGGGAAACACACAGCTTTTCATAGCAACAGCCGCTGTGGCAACAACCACCGAAAATCCAAATCTCCAAGTTCAACGGAAGCGGAATTAAAAACGCAACGCGAAATGCGTCAGAGGACACCTTACCAGTGCGTAAGTCGCTGGTTAGAGGGGTGCGGCAGTTACGTGTGGGGTGTGTTATGTGTCAGACAGCAGTTACCGGACCCAGGCATAGGCATAGGCACAACCTACACCCGACACCCCCTGCCAGCACTCTCGCGGCCTTTTATGTTCGTACGGAAAATTAGGATTGCACAAAAAAGGATTTTCTGTTTAAAGGTAGTTGGGCACAACACAACCCAGCACAGCACATAGGGGAAGGAGGTAGAAGTATTTATAAATTACTCGACGCTCAATGTTCAGTCATACGTTTTATTGCAATTTCAAAAATGCCTCGTTGGCAGGGCTACTGCGTCGCACGTGCGCTTTAAACTGCCCTGCCTAGGGGGGTGTACCAATGTAGTTGTTTTTGTTTTTTTTTTTTTTTGGGTCTGCGATCTGCACTTATTAAAAATATTTTGTTGTATTTATCCAGCCCATAACCACCGTATTTGGTTCCCATTTTGTGTACATACTAGTCTGATTTATTTACGACTCACTCGGCCATGTAATTAAATTTTCTCTGAGCTTCTCACATTAAACACACATGTCAATCCGACAGTCTGCCTCGCCGACTGGAGTCTGTTACTCATTTGTTTCAAAGTGCCGTTTTTGTATGGCACGACTGCGATTTCAAAAACGGCACTCAGTGTTTTGTCTTTGTGCAAGTGAAATATAAATAATACAATTATTTTGTTTTATTAATTGGAGATCATTCAAACAGACCTTTTAAAAACTCTCTTCTGATCACGCAACCCCTCTTCAAAATTTGTAACGTAAATTCATAATACTTGTACAGTATTGTATGACGTCTGTAATTGTAATTTTGCTCTCATTGCTGCTCTGGAAATGCAGCTGTAGTGTTTGAGCCTTGCGTTCGTCAAGCTAGTCTGTTGCCCATCCGCTGCTCTCACTATTGAGTTGTTTTTGGCGAAGCAACCATAATCTACTTACTAATTGTCAACGGAGATTTTGACAGTCAACTTGTTTTATATGATATACGAGCTGGCCAAAAAATATTGGTAGCTCATTACCCATCTTTCAAAGCCATTTTTTCTAGCGCACTGTGCACTCTTAAGCTAGATATATATTTTTAACAAAATATATGCTTTATCCAAACCATATCAGTTGAAACCTATAAAATATTAAAACATCCACAGAATTCTTGCAATACTTGGCTAAGCACATGCTAAACTTTGTAATGCCAGAAAAATAATTCATTTAAGAACATGTTTATAAAGAGGAATCGCCTTCTGAAGAAAAATAATCAAATACTCTTTCAATCCAATACAACAACTCTCATTACGTACTTTTAATTTCGTAAGTAAACTTATACTTGTATTAAATAAGTGGCTTTAATTTCGTAAAACCATTTCTCTTATTCTCCTCCACGACCCCTTTTCCACAAAACAGTCTACTGGCCGCACTTTCCGCACTTTCCATCCCATACGAACCAGCACGCACATGTGCCAAACTATCTTTCAACATGTGTTTTTCAAATGCGCTTAGCTGCCATCCAACCATTTACACGTTTCGAAGCACCTACACTGCTCCCCCTCTGTGCGAAAAGCAGTTGTAAGCATGTAGAAGTTGTATGGCATGTAATTGCAAATCCAATTAATTTACAAAATAGTCACAGCAAATGTGCTACTAAGTAAGACATAAATAGCACGAGACTAGACAGAGACAACTGTGCGCAAGAGTATCTAACAGATACTTTCGTATCTGCACATGTGCACTGCTGGTTGTGGGGCAGCATTTCGTTACGAAAATTCCTTATACGTGTATGCAGTCGCGTGCGTTCTAGAATTTAAAGTGGCTGTGGTTGGAGTGCGTCGTCTTCGGCTCAGGTTGACAAATGTACAACAATTAACTAAGTAGTTCTTAAGAATTTATCTACGTCGACGCCTCGGATAGTTGCCACACTTGGTTCGGCGGCTACCCTCCAGCGATGGCTTGACAAGTGGCAAGCATAGAAATTGAAAAGTGAAATTATATCTCTGCCTCTCAGCCTCACGCTCTCCTTCTGTTTTACATCAGCTTCACTTTAGTGCCCATTAGGTGTTGGGAAAAAGGAACTGTAAGAAATATTATGCTAATAAATCGGTGCGACACGTGTCGTTGTACTCCAGTACTCCAATATTCCGGGCTAACAACATTTTTCAGCGCGACACAAAATGCTCTTAATAAACATGCGCCACAAAATATGCATTGGATATTTTTTGTACCCTCCCTAATGGCGGCAAAAAGTGCCACATTGTAGTTGCATTTCATGCAGCATTATACGAGTGTGTGTATAGTATATGTGTGTCTGTGCCACCCAGATGGATGGATGGCTCCGTGCCGTGCCGCACGTGGTGTTTACACATCATTTACATAAAACGAGCGACGGCCGTCGTGCGCTGCAAACATTTTTTGTTCCCGCTTTTTTCTGTTTCTCGGTTTTTTGCAATTTCTTGACAAAAACCTGCGCAACAAAGTTGTTAATTATACTTGACTGGACGCCGGTCGTCGGCAACGACGATCCTTCGCCTGCCATGCACAGCTTTGCTCAGTCAAGCGCTCATAATGAAGAAGAAGGCCGCCAGTATGGGACAGTGTGAGGCCGTCTTATGACACGCTGGGTAAGAGAGGAGAGGTGGGGGCAGGGACGGGCCTGCAGAATAATAACAACAAGGCTATGAGAAACCATTAATCAGTTTGCTGGTTAGGCACACAGTCTAGAGCAATGGCTCTAGATGGATGGGTCTGGCTCGCTTTAACTTGGCGATTTTCCCATTTCCATTTCTTTCGTATTTCCAGCGAACACTTTTAACGACTGCCGCCGCCGCCGTTTGCTCATTTGTTTCCTACGGACGCGGTCGCGTGCGTTACATTTTAACACACAATGGGCAGAAATTGTTCAAGATAAAACTGTTTAAGGCAAGCAGAAAAAAATAAATATTGCCTAATTGCTGTAATTAATGAGTTTAGTTTACATTTTCCAAAGCGAATAGTTTCAGCAGAAATTGTGTTGGGAGAACTACTTGTTGAAAAAAATTACCACCTTTTAGTTAAATTTATATCTGTTTATACACATGCGCTGAGTGATCGGTCATTCCTATTGACTAAAGTGTTTAGAAATTTCAAGCCACCATTTTAATGATTGCACTTTCTATAACAACTATAGATTTGGCTTAAAAACAAACCACAACATTTTAAAAGCTGATCAAGCTGAGCAGTTAGCCACATACCATTAAACAGTACGAACTTGGTAACGGCAACTATGGATACATGCAATTCCCCGATTGTGCTGAGGAAAATGATATTCCAATATTCTTAAGGTGCTTTGTATAATTGCTGTTTGTAAAAGCCTTAATAATTAGAACAAATTGCAGGCAAAAATAACAAACAACAACAAACGTTATAAAAAAGATTTCGGTGTTTTTCCTCGCACGGTGCAACAAGTTCCATAAATGCAGCTACCCTGGTTTCCTTTAGTTGCAACTACCGAGTTCGTACTGTAGATACTTTTAATAAAAATTCATTAGAGTAATTGCTGGCATATCGAGTTTTATTGCATTTGCAGACAGGCAGTAAAAATGCCAATATTAGAACTAAATATGCATAGAACAGCAAATGCCACATTGCCGCCGCAAGCCCAACATAAAATCGTTGCGTTGGTTGGGACCGCTGCGGAGCTATCAATGGCATTTAACCTTTAGCATATTCAGGAATCAGAAGAGGTAGGATTAAAAACAAAAAAAGCGAAAGCAAAGAACCCCTTCACACACGAGCCTGACCCCTTTTCAACCACACCCTCCGACGGGCAGCCAGCTAGCAACCCCAACACAAATTTCGGACGAAATTAAATTAGATTTCTGGTAGGAATGTTTGTTTGCCTGTTAGCTGCTTGTATTGTTTGCTTGTTTGTAGCCAAGCAAGCAAATGGCAGACAATTTTGCAATCGTCTACCGGATTGTTCGAAAAAATATTGAAATTACAGCAGAAATTCAAAAATATAACGCAACTAGAGAACACGGCAGCGAGAACTCAACAGAGCCCAGTTATTTGCCAAATGACCGATGGCATGTGTGTAAGCAAACATTTGCACACCAGCCGAGTCGAGCCGACCCACTCGGATACACACGCACATTTACATATGGGTAGTGCAGTGAAACGGAAGCGGAAATGCCTGCGCAAATGTGCGCATTTCAATTAAATTTCCGTTTTAATCACTTTTACAAGTTTCGTGTTGCACACTTTGCCGTCGTCAAAGGCACTCTTGGACGCACTCGCCCGGCCGCTCGCTCATTAAAAACATTTGCTACGCTATGCATTGGAAATTTAATTCTAAGTATAGTCCCACATCACTTTACTCGATCTGTCATATACGAGTAGTAGGTAGGTTTGAGAAGTGCATAGAAGGGACGCTCCTAGTGCAATGTATAATTGCTGCCATCGGGCTTGAGCGTCACTTCACTGTCCGAACGCACGAGCTCAAACGAGGTATTACACACATAACGTAACGGCAGGGGCAGACATATAGACACCGAAGACTTTGAGTTTTTGGTCACTGTTATGAGCGACTGTTCCGATAAGGACCCCTCCACTTCGGTATCAGGCTCAGATTCAGATTCAGATTCAGACTCTGGCTCAGTGCCGACATATGGCACCAGATCCAGACAATCCTCGCTGCTGCTGCAATCAGGCAATATTTCCAGGAACTCGTCGCTCGCATCGTAGAACAGTTCGGAATCGCCTTCGCCATCATTCGCGCTGATGCTCCAGGAGTTGCTCGGGGTCTGGGTACTGCTGTGCCTGGTGGAGCAGGATGATCTGCTCATCGATGTACAGCAACAGACTTGCTTCAAGTAATTGCTGCCCAAGGATGTCCAGGACCTGGGCACGCTTTGTCCACTCGCCTGAAACTGATGGTCTATCATGGCACGAACCGGAGACAGTTCCTCGACCAAGCCACATAAAAGCCGCTCGTTAATTGTGTCGCCGCCAGCCTTGCCGGGTGCACCGCTCTCGCAAGCCATGGGATTGTGACGCAGCAGCTCCTGCAGCGTAATGAAGGACTCTCGCATCTCCTGCAGCTGGGTGGAACTGTATGCCATGGTGAGCGGCGAATCTGGCACGGCCAGCGCATTTATCAGAAAGTTCAAGTCCTCGTCCATGACGTTGACAATGCGAAAGCGTGTACCAAATTTTGTAATTTTGATTCTTTTTTCAAGAATTAAAATACAGACGAACAAAATATTTTATTAGGCGGTATACAAAATTTTTGAAAATAAAAGAAATTTAAATCCCGGTCGAAAATTTTTGTTTAATGTTTTCAATTTGAAGTGTTTTTGATGGATATACACGTTTCATAATTAAACTTCTTAACATCATTTCCATTTGGGAAGGAAAGTTCGATATAAAATAAAAGACCATGTGATATAGTTTTTAGAAAAACCAACAATGTAGAGCCTTTATTCAAAATTTAAAATCATTTCCTTCTTAGCTATTTAGAACCCATTCAAGTTGATTTGTCCAGCTCTCTAGGTACTGTTTACTGGAATAATCAACAGTTGGGTGCGCATAGGAGAACTATTCCGTTTCTTGAATGAGAGATCTGTCGAAAGGCCAGAGTTCGCTCCTTATTGATTGCTAAAAGTGTACCGGGGTGACAATTTTATTTTAAACATCGAAAGGATATGTACACATTAAGAAATTTCTGCAGCTTCATAGTTCACTCCTATTTTAGGCTCTTTAAGGCTTTAGGTATTATCAAGCATTTTCAAGCCTTATCACATGATAACAATGTGAACTCCCAACTCTTCATCCATTCAACTTTTTTCTCATTTGTTCACGTTTTGTTTAAACACTTTTTTGTGGTTAGCTCTTAGCTTTTTGTATCAGAGTTTTCTGCTGCCTTCTATACTATTGTCATTCGAAGTTTGGGCTTCAACTTTTTTCATTAAATTCGCTTACGCATGCCAAAGGAGCAGCCAAGGAAACCAGCACAACTTTAAGACCATATGCTCGGCCAGCCAGAGGCGGGCAAACAAAATGCGCTACAAAGTCATTACGAGCAACTTAAGTTTGTGTTAAACACGCCCACATTACAAGATTTTGCATTTGCAAGCCAAAACTTCTCGGTAACAAACAAACGCGTACAAACTTTTCTACCCACAACAAGAACAAGAACAAGAACAGGAACAGGAAAAGGAATAAGAACAAGAACTTGGGCAGTGGAAATGGAGTAGCTGAAGCAGCAGAATGTAATAATTGTAATTTGGCTTGAATTTTCCAGCAAACAGCAACAACCGCCAGCCAGGCGCAATAGGGCGAATATGCTAAGAGCGTCGCGCACGTAAACACGAAAAATAACAATCAGAAAGCATTTAGCAACAACTTCTTAGGGTCGCCCGCCAGTGGGGCACAACTGGAACAAGAGTGAGTTTCCTTGTAGGTTGCCCCGCAAGCTAAGCAGCACTTTCTGAGCAGGTGGCTCCTTGCCTATTGCGGCAAGTTATTCAACCATGTGTGAATGTGTTAGTGGCAACCCCAACTAAGCCAACTCCCCTACCCGCCCAACCACCGTCGATGCGTGGTAACAACTTTAACTAAAAGCAAAAGCATCAAACACGTGCATATATTTCTTTAACGATTAAACAAAGACCAGCCCGCCCACACATGTGCACATAAATAAGTGTGTTGTTACAGTCAAGCCTCTCTACAGATAAAGCTCTTCAGTTCTGAGGATTGATCGTTTGACTAACAGAAGGCATGAAAGAGCCTATTTCCGCAAATAGCATGTAACTAAAGCTCCCCAATAGGAGAAAATGTATATGAACACACACATATGAAATAGGTGCAAACTTGAAAGCAGTTGTTTTATTTTGATGTTATTCAAGTATTTAGTTTGGAAACATCGAAATATCAATTTAACAAGCTTTGTCATTCCTTTCCACAGGCTACTTACTAACCACTTCCCAGAGAGAAACTTCAATTTTTCGAGAAAGAAATCCGCCATTAAAGGCATTCGCTATTAACGTGCTTCTATGTGTGATCCACCCTGTGTGTGTTTGTGTGTGTTAGCTTTTCTGAACAGCTGTATTTCGGATTACAAACCCCAATCTGTGTGTTCGTTGCGACGTTTGCTTGTTTGCCTTGCTTAGTGGCAATTTTAATGGCCTGACCTAGTTGCCAAGGGCCCCCAAGCGCCAGAGTCATGTGTTTTTATTGAACACTTAAAGCAGCAATTAGGTAAATATTTACAGTCAATCCATAAACTTAAAAAGAAAGTCTTCGCCATGTCGACAATATGCGTTTAATAATCTAAGCGCATTACAAAGACAACCACTGTGCATGCAAAGGGAACAAGAAGCACATGTGCTGCACTGGTAAAAAAAAAATATTTGCCGAGAAGAGCCAACAAGAGTGTGTGAGGCAGCAGGAGGACAAATAGCAGGACTCAAAGCAGAAGGCAACGCAGACAACACAAACAGTGAAAAGCCACTCAAGACGATGCTGCAGACGAGCTCAAGTTCTTGCACAAAAGCCTATTAAATAACAAGGCCTTTACACATGCGACTCGCACACAGTCAGGCAGCAAAAGTTTTGCACACAATTGCCAGGATAAAACAGCAGGAGCAGGAGCAGCAACCAAAAGTGGGCAGAAATATGAAAATATTCATGGCAGCAGAAAAAATAACGTAGATATTGCGACATGCCAACAAAAAGCAAAGGGAGCAAACGAAAATGCTTCCACATAGTAGTCAAATGGCAAAAAGTAAACAAATAAACACACACACACACACCCATACATGCACAGACATACGTGTATATGTGTGGAAAGGCAGTCTGCTTGTTAGAGAAACGTTCCGTTAGTGAAGCAACTAATGCCACACACTTGATGCAGAATTCAAGTAAAGCCCCGATGCTGAATTTAACAGACGACGAACGACAGACGAGCATGGACCATGAAGGACATTTGCATTTACATTTACTTGAGCATCTTTGACTAAATTTGAGAGAAAATTGTATTATTTTTGATCAAAATAAACTGCCGGAAACTACAAACTCCGAGTACTACTCACTACCAGCGTCTTTGTCATTGCTCTTGGCCTAAACCACTTGGGGCTTAAGCGCTACGTTTATGTAAAATGTTTTTGCATTTCAGTGACAAAAGGGAATCGAAATTGTAGTTTATTTGTCTCTTATATATAAATATTGTTGTAATAAGAACTAATGGAGAATCGTTTTGAGCAGTTTTGAAATTTCTTCGGTAATTTTGATAGTATTTTAAAAGAAAGATACATTATTTTATAGCAGCTTGTTCATGGCAACAGCTATTTATAAATTTATAATGAAAACGCTTTAATTATTTGCATTAAGGAAGAGAAAAAAGTAATAAATTCGAACCTCATTTGGGCATTCTATTGCACTCTTTACTTTTAACCACGCTTCCTCACAACTCCAACGATCTGTTATATTAAAAAAAAAAAACAAGCCCCACTCAACAACAAAATATGAAAAGTTCAGTCAAACCCACAAAAACTAATGCAAAATCAAACCCTTTCTCACACTTCTTCTCCCGAACACAACATTCATATCCGTTTTGCCATTTTTTTGGAGGGAAAAAATAACGACCCTAACTCAGCATTTTCCGTCCATTACCATTACCGTTATCAAGAACCTTGGCACTATGAAGAGGAAAATGCGTATCATTAACTGTCGAAAAAATACCTTTGCCAGAGATAAGCAACTCATTACTCAAATACAGCAGCAGAAGGAGAGAAAGAGTAGCATAGGATGGGAGGTCAAAAATTGTGTGTGCGCTGGTGTGTGTGATTTACTGTCCCCACCCCCCGCTCCTTCCATACTGCCTTATCACATCGCACGACAGAGCAACGCAACCAAAATCGCCGAGCTCAGCAAATGTCCTTACATAAAACATAATAATAATTTGTTATAAAAAGCAGCAGCAAGCGTACACACAGAGAGAGAGAGATAGAGAGAGAAAAACAGATAAACAAAATAAATGACAAAAGCATGTCAGCATAAAAAGAGAGTGCGCGGCAATGAAAGCGACAACAGTCTCAGAGAAGAAAAAACAAACAAGGCCAACAAACTTAAGGCCACAACGTCTTGCCCGAATGTTTCTGTCGGTCTGTCGTCTGGGCCTGACAAACAGTCTTTATGCAACCCTCAGCACACTTTTTTGTTGTTGCCCTCAGCTCCTACTAGAGACATTTGCATAAATTATCATTTGTTTAACAAGCGCCAAGACCCCAAACGCAACAGCAACCCCCCCAAAAAATGGCTGGCAAATTGCAGGAAGCGCCACAGAGGCATATCGAAAGGGAATGAATGCGCCATATACCTTGTAAGAGCGGCCAAAATAAAACCGAACAAAAAAGCAACTGGCTCTAAAGTCAAATTGGTAATAAAGGCAAATGCATAAAATGCTATAAAACAAGAATTTATGTATAGACGATGGCAGCAACTCCAACAAATATCAAACAAATTGCAATAAAATGCAAATTTAAATGAAATGCCTTTTGCTGCGCCCAAAAGTCGGCAACAAAAACAAACAAACAGACAAATTCTTTCTTCTCTTTTTTATTTGCCAAAATTTGAATTTTAATATTTTATGGTTAATTTTGGTAAATTTTCAAAAACGCATAAAACAACAATCATAACAAGCAAAGAGGCTGGTGGGTTTCCTCCTCTCTGGCTTTTCTAAATGCAAAAGAGGGAAGGGGAAGGCACAACCCACTCATAAAACTGTGTGCTTTTATGTTGCGGTTTTGCTTGCCGCTGTTGTTTCCAAGCAGCTGAGCACAGCTGTAGCGTCAAACATTTCCTCACATTTTAATACACTTTGTTGTTGTTGCTGCTGCTGCTGAACGCCCCCAAGCAGTCACGAATATACTCGCAGAAGAGCAAAAAGCAACAGCTGGGGCAGGTGTAACAGCCTCAAAAGTTTTCTTCTTTTTTTCCCCGCTTTTTTTTTCTCTTTTGTTGCTTTGCTTTGCTTTACTTCTTTGCCGTATAAAAACTTTTTCTGCACAATGAATTTTTGCGCATTTTCCACCTGTATGAGCTACGCCCCCAGTCCCGTACAAAGAGACCCCGCACATCCATATCCTATCCCCCGGTCCAGTGCCAGTGCCAGTCCCAGCTGCAGTCCCGCTCCCCCAGCCGGGAAATCGATTCGTTGTGGTTATGTCGCTTGACTCTCATAATGAGTGGGTTTTGTGCTGCTCCGTTGCTT